AAAAAAAAAAAAACCTGGTTTAGCTGTAGCCGACGGTGACTTTTTCCTTAGCTCCTCCCAAAGAAAGTGACTGCGGCTCTGAAGCTGCTTACTCTGTACAGATGTATCAGCTGGGGATCTCCTGTCGTGCACTGGCTTCCTGATACCACAATCACTTACCGGCTCACCTGTGTGCTCCTCCATGGCACTAGGGAAGGGGATTTCCCCCTCTGCAGCTGAGCGATGAGACTCCAAGAAAAAATTCTTTTGGATTGGGTGCATATGAAAGAAAGGCTTATTCCTCAGTCTTTTTTTAATGTAAGTGTGTTGTTGATCTACTCTGTGTCTACCTGTTCAGGAAGGAAAAAAATTAGAGACAGCAGATAGAGAATGGCAGGGGAGCAGCCTGCACACTTGACTGGCCGACAAGGATGCACGGGCAAGTAGGCATCTCAGGCTGAGCTGCCTTGCCAGTACGCAGAGGCTTGATTGCCAATGAGGGCACTCAGAGTTTGCATTAAAGTACTGATGGTGGAAGCTCATGGTAGTGATGGTGACGGAGCTGGGAAGGTGGGTTGAAGAGGTAGGGCTGGAGCTAGATCTCCCAGATCAGCCCTGCGTAAGGAGGGTGCTCAAGGATCTCTGAAGAACTCACAGTAAGCCCTGCATGGCTTACCACACAGAAGGCATCAATAGCTACTGAATGTTGGCTAGACGAAGAATGACAGCCAAGGTGGCTAGCCCATTTCCTAAGAGGCTAGACCCGTAGTGCTGAAATTGAGAAACACTAAGGATTAAGGACTTCTCTGTAAAATAATGTCACCATCCCACTATACTGTCATTCAGTTACCTAGTTCTTTCTAAAGGAAAGGAACATTTGAATCTGGTATAGGACTTAATTTTGACCAGGAATGAAACAAATTTTGGAGAAAGGAAAATACTGGCAATTCTGGGCTAACCAAAATTAGATTTGGCTTTAATTACTGCTTTTTATATATCTGTTCTTGTCCCCAAAGAAATTCACAAATTTCCCCACAGCTTCAAATCATCCCAGGTAAGAATCTAATTCATTTCTTCAAAATATAACCCATTTTTCTGCTTTGCTCTCAATTTTAGTTATGTTTTTACTTTAGAATCAAGGAACATAAAGAGGAAGAAGAAAGAAGGAGAGAACATGAAGAAAAGGATGCTAAGGAAATAAAGCGACAAAATGCATTATATGAAATAGAAATGAGGAAAAAACTAGAAAAGAAAAAAGAAGAGATAAATGAAAGCAGAAGACTGTTTTTTGTAAGTTAAATATACAGCATTTATTCAAAAAATGTATAAAGTCCAGGGGCACCTGGGTAGCTCAGTTGGTTAAGCGTCTGCCTTCAGCTCAGGTCATGATCCCAGGGTCCTGGGACTGCGTCTCACATCAGGCTCTCTGCTAAGCAGGGCGCCTGCTTCTCCTTCTCCCTCTGCTGCTCTGCCTACTTGTGATCTCTCTCTCTCTGTCAAATAAATAAATAAAATCTTTAAAAATACGTATAAAGTCCAATGCATGACTTTTAATATATTTTTTAGAAATAATTGTGGAGTAGGAAACAAGTTGTCATTAGTTGGGTTTCTAAGTGTACTTTTGGGGGAGCTGCATTTGCTATGGATTTATGTGGATGTGTTCTCATGCATGAACAAGAAAGAAAAGGATGAGACTTTTTTTTCAAGTAAATACATTTTCATATCTTTTTTTTTTTAAGATTTTATTTATTTATTAGAGAGCACAAGCAGGGTGAGGGGCAGAGGGAGAAGCAGACTCCCCACTGAGCAGGGAGCCCGATGCAGGGCTTGATCCCAAGACTGCAGGATCATGACCTGAACCGAAGGTAGATGCTTAACCGACTGAGCCACCCAGGCGCCCCACATCTTCTTATCCTTTAAATGAGAGTTGTGAGGAATGAATTGGGTGATGTGTGTTCCGTATCTGCTGCACTGTTAGTAAGTGCTCAATAAATGTAATAGTTATTTTGTGCCTATTGCAACTCACTTTATTTTGTAATTTTTACATTCTTTTCTTTAAAATTAGTTTTTATTCTTAAGTAATACATGCACAGAATTTAAACATCAAACACCACCAAAAGGCTTAAAAGAAGAGTAGCAGTTCTTTGCTTTACCCCTTCTGCTTCAGGGAGACAGCCACTTCCAGGTTCTTTTAGTTGTTTGTTCTGATATAAAACTATATTCTAAATTATCTGCATATTTTAAAAATATATTAAGTTCTAAAGATATGTGTCTTGACTTATCAGTTTTAGACATTGTCCCTCTGGCCTGGTAGTTGAGGATTTAGCTCTTTTCTAATGCTGTCCTCTTCCCCTGAAATAATCATGCCATAATTTTAGCTAAATCATTATTATTATATAAATATTGTTCTCTGAAGAGCCAAGTAATATACCATGATTATATTTCTTTGCTTGCATAAATGTTTTTCTGTGATTAAAATAATTGTGTGTTTGCTTTGATGACTATATACCTTAGTTTTTTCCCATATGTTCTCTAAGTTGTCAAATGTATATTGATACTAGTTTTCAAATATTCATCTCAGTAATATTAAATTATCTATGTTCTTGATTTTCTTAGAGCTCCCCCATGCAAGTCCTCCATCCTTCTCTGGGCCTCCTGCCCAGCTGTCATTCTGGGACTTCCCTGGGTCACTTTCCTGGGCTGTAGTTCCCATTTCCCCTGAATCCCATGCCTTCCTTCTTCTTAGCCTACTTCTTCATCTTACTGAAATACGTCTTCAAGTAACTTCCTAAGAAAGGGTATACAGATCAATTTTTAAAATTCTTACTTGAAAAGGTTGTCATTTAAAGTCATATTTGCTTTATGGTTTGACTGGATATAGAATTCTGGTTCAGAATTCAGAATTTTGTATTCATGGTTTCATGATCATCTGACTTCCAGTATTGCTGTTGAGAAGTATGATGCTATTTAGGTTTTTCAGCCTATTTATGTGATCTGTTGTATTTTATTTTTCTCTCTCTTTCTGAAAGATTTCTGGGTCATTTTTATTTCACAGGGACATACTTTGATATAGTTGTTTTTTATTATTTTGCTGAGCATTCAGTTGATGCTTTCAATCTGGAAACATATATTCCTTTCATCCTGGAAATTCTTCTTATTTTATTTCTTGTATAATCTTCCATTTTGTCTCTTCTGTTCTAGAACCCCTCTGATACACATTGGACTTTCTGAATTGATGCTGTAATTAAAAAAAAACAACAACAAACTTTTCTCATTTTTTTAGTTAGGGTAAGGCTCAAAGGTAATAGTACCTTAAATAAATTAAAACTTTGAAGTGCAGAGTAGTCATTCCATGGCTAATATGGCAACTCCAGAATCAACAGGGACTGAAATGGCTTCTCTTTTTTTGCTTTGCTATTCTTGGAACATAGATGGCTTCTGTCCTCAAAGTTGCCCCATGGCCCTGAATGGCTGCTGGAGCTCTTGCCCTCATATCCACATTCTAGGCAGCAAGAAGGACAAAAAAGAATGCCCAACTATCTGTTCTCCTTTTAAGGAACATTTCCAGAAGTTTCACTTAATGATTTCCACTAAATCTCATTGGTCACAATTAGACACACTTAGCTGAAAAGAAAGCTTGGAAATAGCCTTTTTAGATGAGCATGTTGCCACTCTGAACAAAATGTGGGTCCTGCTACTAATGCAAAAAAGAAGAAAGATCTTGGGTAGGCAGTTAATTGTTCCTGCCCTTTCTGGTTTTTGTTTGACTCTGAGAGTTATTCTCAACTTTGTCTTTTAAACTTTCTATTGAATTTTAAATTTAGCTACCAAGGGGTACCTGGGTGGCTCAGTCAGTTAAGCATCCAGCTCTTGATTTCGGCTTAGGTCATAATCTCAGGGTTGTGGAATTGAGCCCCGAGTCGGGCTCCATGCTCAGCACAGAGTTTGCTTGAGATTCTCTCTCTCCCTCTGCTCCTCCCCGCTTGCTTGCTCTCTCTCTCTCAAATAAATAAATCTTAAAAAAAATAAAATAAGCTACCAAATTAAGCTACCAAAGTTTTAATTTCCAAGAGTTTTACCTGTAATGCTATTGTTCCTTTTCCATACAATCTTATTCTTGTTTCATGGATGCAATATGTTTATCTCTCCAAGATACTTTGGAATGGGACAGACCTTTGAATGCTAACTCTGCCACTAACTAGCAATGTGACCTTGGGCTGAGGCTTTCAACTTTTAAAAATGAGAATTAACTTTGTGTTAATTAATTCTATTCTTTCCTATTAAAAAAAAATCTGTTTGAACATTACAATAAACTTAGAAAAAAACCAGCAAAATAAAACTTTTAAGAAATCATTCAAAACAATCACCTTTAACAGTTTGATACTGTTATTAGCTTTTCATGTTCACTAATGCTTCTCCTAACCAGATTATGGGCTTTTAAAAGTAATAGCCATAAGATAGGAGAGTACTTAAGAATGCTAGGTGCATAGTAGACCCTGAGTTATAAATATATTGGAAGATTAAGTGCTGCATCTTCACTTGAATTGGTTTCTACTTATAGTAGCTAAATACACTAATATCTATATATCCAGGCTATTGTGTTCAAAGGCACCTATTTTTATGATGGCTAACTCAGGCTGGAGTCATGGAATATATGCTGATATGAACAGATTTTTATTTTGAAAAATAATGACCTATATTAAAATGTTTTGTTAGACTATATATCTGTACCTTTTCTTGTGTATATGGGAAAAGACAGTCTGGACAAGAAACTAGTTTCACAGTGATCAAGTCAGTGGAGGAATTAGGAATATAGGGAGACAGACAGTGGATGGGGAAGGAAGGACACTTTATACTGTGTATCATTTAAATATTTTTAATTTGTGTACCATAGAAGTATATTAACTATTTAAACGTTAAATGAAAATATTTAATGTATTTTTTCTGATTATAGAATTTTTTAAAGATTTATTTTTTTAAAGATTTTATGAGAGAGAGAGAGAGCAAGTGAGGGGAGGGGCAGAGGGAGAAGCAGACTGCCTTCTGAGCAGGGAGCCCGACATGGGCTTGATCCCAGGACCCTGAGATCTTGACCTGAGCCAAAGGCAGACAGTTAACTGACTGAGACACCCAGGTGCCCCTTATTTATTTATTTGAGAGAGAGACAGAGAGAAAGCACAGGGAGGGGCACAAGGGGGAGGGCAGAGGGAGAGGAAGAACATCTCAGGCAGATTCCTTGCTGAGTGTGGAGCCCAATGTGAGGCTCGATCTCACAACCCTGAGATCATGACTCCAGCCGAAACCAAAAGTTGGCTGCCTAACTGAGCCACCAAGGCTCCCCTAGAATTATTTTTAATTACATATTTTAAAGAAATGCGATATTTGAAAGGAAATACAGAAAAGCATTAAGATGAAAAGTCACATATATAATCTCATACTCCAGAGATAACTATTAACATTTGATACATTTCTTCCAGTAGTATATACATTATAAACTTGTACCTATATATGTACTATATATATATATGAAATTTGCTATGTAGTATTTTATATTCTCCTTTCCCCCCACTTACCCATTATATTATTTGTATCTTCCCATATCATTGAGAGTATAATTTATTTAACCGTCTCTTCATTATTAAAGATTTAGAGGTTTCCAATTTTTCACTCTTATAAATAACTTTGGGATAAAGTACATGGTACAGGGTGCCTGGGTGGCTCAGTCGTTAAGCGTCTGCCTTTGGCTCAGGTCATGATCCCAGGGTCCTGGGATCGAGTCCCGCATCGGGCTCCCTGCTCAGCGGGAGGCCTGCTTCTCCCTCTCCCACTCCCCCTGCTTGTGTTCCTGTTCTCGCTGTCCCTCTCTGTCATATAAATAAATAAAATCTTTAAAAAAAAGAAATATATAAAGTACATGGTACATAAAGCTTAATGCGTACCTCTGATTGTTTCTTTGGGATAAATTCCCAAGAGAGAAATAACTTGGACCATTTGATAGGTTCTCATTAGATATTCATATGTTGAAAGATATTTTTCTTTGTGATAATACAGTTTTTTTTCCCCAAGGAACATATGAATGACAAAAATATCATCAAAGCTGTAGAACGGCAGCAGCAAGAGGAGGAAGATGAAAAGATTAGAAAATTTATCAAAGCAAAAAAGCGTCTTACACAAATAGGAAAAGAAAAAGAAGCTGAAACACACAGGTAAGCTTTAAAAGTAATTCATATAATTAATAAAGTACTATCTGAAATTATTATAAATCAGAAGTTGTGATATGAGAGTAATTTTTAAGAATAAGTCATTATAGGGCACCTGGCTGGCTCAGTCGGTTAAGTGTCTGCCTTTGGCTCAGGTTGTGGGGTCCTGGGGAGCCTGCTTCTCCCTCTGCCTCTCTCTCTCTCATAAATAAATAAATTAAATATTTTGGTATGCCTGCATGACTCAGTCGGTTAAGCGTCTGCCTTCGGCTCAGGTCATGATCCCAGGGTCCTGGGATCGAGCCCCGCATCGATCCCTGCAGAGCAGGGAGCCTGCTTCTCCCTCTGCTTGTGCGCTTTCTCTCACAAATAAATAAATAAAATCTTTTAAAAGAAGAGTAAGTCATTATATATAACTAGGGCATTTAGTGACATGATGATTTCAGAGTTAGGTTTCCCTTGGAATATCAAGGACATCTATCTGGTGGATGGTTGGAAATAGTGAAATCTCTGCTGTAGGGGAGGGATATGAGCTAGAGATGGCTTTGTGAGCCATTGATATATAAGTGGTAGTTGGAACTGTGGATACAGCTGAGCTCACCTATGGTGAGTAGGTAAGAAATGAAGGTGGCATAGTCCCTTGGGAGGAAGAAGATCATGCGAAGACCAAAGAATAGTTTCCAGAGATTGGAAGAAAATCAGAGAAACAACACGAAGGAGAGTTTCAATAAGAGGAGAGCAGTCATTGGTGTTAGATCAATAGAGGGATTATATGAGATTTTTAAAAAAGATTTATGTATTTATTTTAGAGAGAGAGTGGGGGAAAGGGGCGGGCACAGGGAGGGAGAATCTTAAGAAGACTGCACTGAGTGTGGAGCCCAGCAGGGAGCTTGATCTCATGACCCTGAGATCACAATGTGAGCAGAAACCAAGAGGTGGACACTTAACTGATTGTGCCACTCAGGCGCCCCTAAATGAGATTTTAAAAATGAAATGTCAGATATGGAGGTCATTGCTTACCTTAGTGATAAGTTTGGGATGAGGTAAGAGAGAGGAGGCCAGTTTCAGTACACTGTGTTTCTGTCTACATTCTACTTTTGCCTTATGCAGAGCATTCCAATGGCTTTATATCACATGTAGAGTATTTACTAAGGCCCACAAGGCTCTCCACCATCCTAATTCCCAGCTGACCCCAGCCTCATCTCTTGGACTTCGTCTTGTACTATTCTCTCCTTCTTTGCCTCCTCATCACTCACACTGGACTTCTCCTGTACCCTCTCTGGGGAATGCTGACCTCCCTAAACTCTTTCAAAAGGATCATTACTCAGGTGTTGCCTTCTCAGTGAGGCCTTCCCTGACAACCTTAATTAAAATTACAGCCCCACCCCCACATTGCTTATCTGTTTAATTGCTTGCTTTTTCCTCATTGCATGATATAGCACCATTTTAATTATTTACTTTGTTCACTATCCCTCTACCCCAGCTGTAATGAAAGTTCTAGAAGAACAGAGATTTTTAATGTTTTTGTTTACTGCTATATCCCCAGGACCTGGAATAATGTCTGGAACATAGTAGGCAATCAATAAAAGTGTTTAGAATATTGTTGTTGAAAGTCTAGATGCAATGTCACCTTTCCCATGAAACCTTCCTTTTTTCTCATCTGCCTATATCACTTTCTAGCTTTCTCATTGGCATGTATCACCCTTTGCCATGTATTGTTATTTGCACAAATGTCTTTTCTCCACTTTAGACTGTAATTTCCTTGGGATAGGCACTGTGTCCTTTCTTATCATTTCTCCCACACTGCTTTGCAAATTCATTCCATAAATTAGTGAATCTGTCACATCTAAATTTAAAAGTATTTTTTGTCCAATCCTAAATGAAAATGCCCCTATTCCTTTAAGAAATACCTAGTTATGGTTAATGATGTGCCAGTCACCATGCTTGGCTCTGAACTAGAGAGAGGACTTACCCATTCTCTGAGCTCAGGAATCTCATAATGTAAAAGGACCGTTGTCTATCTTCATATAAATAGATGAAGTCAATAAAGTGCTATGAATAAATTATAAACAGACTATATAGTAAGAGGATGGATTTATTAGGATTTTAATAACTTTTACTAGATATTTTTGAGATTTCATTTAAAGAAAGGCTGTTGATTTATTTTATAACCTAAGCCTCCAATGTTAGAGTAAGCAGGGTGTCTGATTAAGTATTCTGAAAATCTTTTCATTGTGAGAATTTTAATACTTTATTTCCTACATGCACGCACGCATACACATGCACGTACACAAGATATTATATGTATTACTCCCTTTGGATTTTTAAAATGTGCTTTATTCTAAAAATAAAGTATTAAAAATAGTTTCCACTTAAAATAATCAGTACATATAAGGAGTATTGGGGCTCTATTCAGTTTTGTAAAAAACTATAAATTATCTGATTTTTTTTTTAAAGATTTTATTTATTTGACAGAGAGATAGAGAGAGAACACAAGTAGACAGAGCAGCAGGCAGAGGGAGAGGGAGAAGCAGGCTGTCAGCTGAGCAGGGAGCCCCATGCAGGACTTGATCCCAGGACCTCTGGGATCATGACCTGAGCTGAAGGCAGCTGATTGAGCCACCCAGGTGCCCCTAAAATATCTGATTTCTAATGAAATTATATTGGCTCCATAACAAATCTATTCATGAAGATTTAACAAGTGATGGTTATTTTGTTATAGGCTAATGGAAGAAAGGAGAGAAAGAATAAATAACTTCCTGAGTGAACTAATAAAAGAGAAACTTGACAATGAAGATTTGATTATTGCTAGAGATACTGCAGAAGCTGAGGCTGAATGGGAAAAAAGAGAAAAAGAAAAATATGAAAAAAACAAAGCAGAATTAAAAGCGATTGCAGAATATAGAGCTGTTGTGGTAAGCAATTCAATTATGACAAATAAAAACTAAAAAAAAATTTTAAGTCCTTTCCACTGTAGTTTCCACTCCCTCTCCCTCTCTGACAAAAAACTAGCAAAGATTTGAAAAACAATGTATGAGTTATCTTCCTATATTCTTGAAATCAGACCATGTTTAATTTCTAACAGAAGATCATATGATAATCAATTACAAATAAGATATTGTTAGACACAAAATAATCTCTTGTTTCAGAACCATCTGAAATGCAAAAATTGTTATTCACTTAATATACATTTGAGTGTTTTTAAGACTAACCAAATAAAAATAACCCATTTCTGTATTTCTTAATCCTTCAGATAATCCTTATCTCCTACATAATTGACTGTCATAACATTTAATTTGGATAGTTTATAAACATTATAGCAGCTAATTTTTTACCTACAAATATTCCCCTACCTTGAGAAGACCTTGCTATTCTGTTCTTGTATTTTATTTTTTAAACCAGTATCACTCAAGTTTTCATTGTGTGTTTCCTGTTATTTGGGAAATAGAACAAAACCAAAGTAAACTGATCCATGTGGGAATCAGCCCAGGTACCTGTAACTTCTGCCCTTGTATTGCTCCAGGCTTTCTGCTTGGAGCTTTCTAACTGTGCTTTATTAGAGAGCACTGGTTGATTTAAAAAAAAAAAAAATTGTTTCCCTTTGCTTTTTAACATCTAGATGAAAAATAAAGAGGAAGAAGAAAGACAGAGGAAACAAGAGGATAAAGAACAATTGCTGGCTATCCTGAAAGCAGATCGGATTTTCCAGGAGCATGAAAAGGAGAAAAAACGCAAAGCTGATAAAGAACGACAAGAAGTTCGAGATGCCCATATTCAGCAAATGGTAATTATTCTTAAATGTTTATACTTATTTTAACAGTAAATACGTAATGTAGAGTTCATGCTAGTTTTCTGTTTCCCAGGTGGTTTCATCTGTCAAATAAGATCAAATGATCATTATGGTTATGACACAATAAAATATATAAAAAATGTGAAGTTAATTTATCTTTTTATATGTATTGAAGTTCCCATATTAGGTTTATGTCTTTTGCACAAATATTTATCCTTCTTCAGTGTCTGTTGTGCTTTAGTAAATATTAAAGAAAATGCAATTGCATACAGCAGGCCATGATGCTTATCTTCTTCGTTTTACTTTTTTCCCCCCTCTTTATAACTATAGGCCAGAGATTATGTTGATTGGGATCTCATAGGTTTCAGAGTTGGGGTGATAGGGGTACCAGAGATTTTAGAACACATATAGAGGACCTGGCATCCAATCATTTATGACTTAAAACTGTTTTCCAAAATGGCTATACCATTTTCCATTCCTACCAGCAACATATGCGAGGACAAACTATTCCACATCCTCATCAACACTTGCTTTTGTTATCCTTTAATTTCAACTATTTCTAGTGTAGTGATATCTCATGGTGTCGTTTTGCATTTCCCTAATGACTAAAGATTTTGAAGATCTTTTCATGTCCTTTATAGACATTTGTGTGCCTTCTTTTATGAAGTATGTATTCAGATCTTTTGACAATTATTCAATTGAGTTGTTTGGGTTTTTTTAAATTTTATTTATTTGAGAGAGAGAGAGAGAGCGAGCACAAGCAGGGGGAACAGCAGAGGGAGAGAAAGAAGCAGACTACCCGCTGAGCAGGGAGTTTGATATGGGGCTCCATCCCAGAACCCTGGGATCATGACCTGAACTGAAGGCGACTGAACCACCCAGGTACCCTGGGTTTTCTTACTATTGTGTTTTAAGATTTTTAATGTGGTAGAATATACATAACAAAATTTGCCATTTTAACCATTTTTCAGTGTAACAGTTCAGGGCCATTAAGTGCATTTACTCTCACTGCTATCCATCTCCATAACTTTTTCATCATCCTACACTGAAATTCTGTACCTTTTCATTCCCCCATTCCCTCAGTCCCTGGTGGCCACTATTCTTTCTGTTTCTATGAATTTGAATATGCCAGGTACCTCATATTAGTGGAATCATATTTGTCCTTTTGTATCTGTATTATTTTACTTATCATGTCTTCAAGACTCATCCATGTTGCAGCATGTGTCAGAATTTCCTTTTTTTATTAAGGCTGAATAATATTCCATTGTATGTATATACCCCATTTTGTTTATACATCCATCCATCAGTGGACATCTGGGTTGTTTCCATCTTTTGGCTATTGTGAATAATACTTCTATGGATATTGGTATACAAGTGTCTGTTGAGTCTTGCTTTCTTTTGTCTTTATACACAGAAAAAGAATTGCCAGATCATATGGTAATTCTAGGTTTAACTTTTTTAAGAACCACTGTACTTTTTTTTTTTTTTAAGATTTTATTTATTTTGAGAGAGAAAGAGAGAGTACAAGTGGGGGGAGGGGCAGAGGGAGAGAGAGAATCCCAAGCAGACTCCACGCTGGACATGGAGCTCTACCTAGGGCTCAATCCCACGACCCTGAGATCATGACCTGAGCTGAAATCAAGAGTCAGACACTTAACTGACTGAGCCACCCAGGTGCCCCTTGAACAACCATACTGTTTTCTATAAAGCTGTACCACTTAACATTCCCACCAGCAATATTCAAGGGTTTCAATTTCTCTGAATACTCAACATTTGTTCTGTTTTGGGTTTGTTGTTGATGGTTTTGTTGTTGTTTACAATAGCCACCGTAATAGGTTTGAACTGGGTTTCACTTGTGGTTTTCATTTGCATTTCCCTAGTGATTAGTGATATTGAGCATCTTTTCATGTTTCTCGGCCATTTCTGTTCAGCCTAAAGACTTCCTTTAGCATGTTTTATAGTGCAGGTGGGTTAGCAATAAATTATTTATGTGTTTGTGGAAATGTCTTTGTCTTCATTTCACTGGGTATAGAATTACTGGATATCATTCTTTCCCAGCCCTTTGAATATATTGTTCCATCATCTTTGGCCTTCATTGTTTATCATTAGCAATCTGCTGTTAATCATATTGTTGGTCCCCTAAATGTGATGCATCATTTTTCTCTTGCTGGTTTCAACAATTTCTCTTTATTTTTGGTTTTCAGCAGGTTGACAGTTTAACAGTCAACCAATAATGTGAGTGGAGTTGATGTTCAGTTCAGTGATGTTAAGACAGTAATGCTTTTACCCCTGACGCACAAGCTATGTGTGGGTTGAGGATGTTATTCCTAAGAACAGCAAATTCACAATTTCCCCCAGGCTTTTAATTTTTGCTAAGCTCCCTGGGGTCTCTTGTGTGAATGTGTAGTTTATCAGTGAGACAAGGATGTCCATAGAGTTTATTATTTCAGCCCTTCTATGCCTATCTCACTTCCAGAATCTCCCCCTTAAATTTCTAGCTGCTTTGCCACTCAATCCAAATGGAATCTGTCATCATTGTCCAGCAAATCTGCAAGTTTTCACCACCTGAGCTGGAGGAGCTGGAGGGATAGCAATATCCCCCAGAAAAGCTTGTAGTTCTTACCTGATTTAGTAGCAGTTTTTCATGAAAACACATTTCTCAAGTAGTTGCTTATACATGGTCATTTAATAGTGCTTTGAAATGAGAATTTAAACTTGTTTTTATAGAGGGGAAATGGCCAACCTCCTCATGTAGCCATTGCCAGAAGTAGGATCTGCCATATTATTTTGAAGATATCATTTTATCAATGTAGTATGTATCTCTCAAAACTCAGGGACTCTACAAATTTACATAATCCCAATTCCATTATTACGTCTAAACCAATTAATATTGTCTTTAAATTTCCTTTAAATTGTCTCGTATTTCTTTTAGTTTGTTGGTTTTTAAAAAAAATTTTTAAGTAGACTCCATGCCCAATATGGGGCTTGAACTCAAGACCCTGAGATCGGGAGTCACATGCTTTATGGACTAAGCCAGCCAGGCACCCCTTAATTTGTTTTAATCAGGATCAAATAAGGTCCATATATTCTATTTGGTTGATATGTCTTTCAAGTCTCTTATCTAACACTCCTCCTCCACCCCTCTCTTCTTAAGTTCTCCCTTTTTGTCTTTTATTGTTTGTTTTCCAATTTATTTGTTGAGGGGTTTTACTGGTTTACAGGGTTTGTCTTTTAGAATTACTACAGTCTGGATTTTTATGGTTGAACCCCTGTTGTATAGTTTATTATGTTTCCTGCATTTCAGGTAAAAATCTAGTTGAGGTCAGATTCAGGTTCAAATCTTTGGTGAAAATTCCTCTTACATGGTGGTGTATACTTCCATCAGAAGGCACATTGTGACCATTGTCACTTTCTGTGACATGAACAGCCTTTGATGACTATTGCCTAGATTTCTTAGTTCATGAGGTGGCAAGATATTGATATTCTCTCATTTCTTCTTATTCATTTGCTCAAGTCTTCAAAGAACTTTTCATGATCAACAATTTGGTTTCCCTGAGGTACAGTTTTTAAAGAAAAGACAGAATAAATACTTGGTCCCTTCATCTTCCAGTATTCAAAATAATTAGCATCTCCTAAAGATGCTTGTTACTTCCCCCCATCTGTTATAATTTTTAGGAATTTAAAACAGTATTTTAAAAGTTTCTTTATAAATCTATTTATGCTTAATGCAATCAAAATTGAGGCATCAATCATATGATCCATTATGATAATCCTTTCCTTCCCTTGTCACTTCCTTTCTGTACTTCACATGTTTCTCCTTGCTTCCTTAATATCTTTCCACAAATTGCTATCAAACAAACATATCCTAGTTGCTCTTTAAGTTCCCAAATTATAGTATTTTACCTTTTATGAGAGTGGTTTTAGCTTTTTCTGATTTTCTCAATCTTTTTGAAGGGCATTTTCTACTTTTTCAAATTCCTGCTATTGTATCACCGATTCAATAAATAGCACATAAGCCTTTTTTTTTTTTAGCACATAAACCTTAATTTTGAATTGTATTTGAATTGAATATGAATTAAATGCCAAAAAAATTTGGTATTTCATATGTTATGGTTGCTCTATTTATTTATAAATTTCAATGTACAGTAGTTATCAGGTTTGGGCTCTTTTATACTTAAGTGCTGGTTACTGATTTAGGAAAATATTTTCATAAATATTAAATATATTCATAAGTAGACAAAATCACTCAATTTTTTACAAACTCAAACTCAGCATTTCTTAAAATGTTGCTAAGACAAGAAGTTGTCAATCAGACTTCATTAAAATCACCTCATAAAATCAGTTAAAAGAACAATGTTTTTGCAAATATTAGAGTTAAAAGAAGTTAAAAGAAAAAAAAATTATGAGATATAAATTGGCTTTTGGTAAATCGCTTAGAGTACTTACTCCAACCAGTTCCAGATCAACCAACCTACATTGATAAATGTCACTTGTTACAACTTCAAGTTCCTGGGAAAAGAAAATGTAATTGGTTTAATTTAGTTCAGATATTCACTGCTGATTTAATCTTATTTGGCTGGCTCATATGGTATATTGGGCTGACTTAGAACAGTGGATTTCAGTGAGTTCTTTCAGAATAGTAGATGGGGGGAGGGCACCTGGCTGGCTCAGTTGGAAGAATATGCAACTCTTGATCTCAGGGTCGTGAGTTTGGGCCCCACATTGTGTAGAGATTTAAAAAAAAAAAGGGGGGGGTGCCTGGGTGGCTCAGTCGTTAAGCGTCTGCCTTCGGCTCAGGTCATGATCCCAGGGTCCTGCTCTGTGGGAAGAAGCCTTCCTCTCCCACTACCTCTGCTTGTGTTCCCTCTCTCGCTGTGTCTCTGTCAAATAAATAAAATCTTCAAAAAAAAAAAAAATAGTGGATGGGTTGGAGGCAGTGATCGGTAGGTCTTCTATACCTGCCAAAGTACACATTTTTATAAAGGTAGAAACAGGATTCTAAACTCATTTTTTACCTAAAGTTCATGCTTTTAACTACTTTGTTATATTGTTTGCTTGAAGATATGTTATTGCACAAGGCTATTAAGTTTCACTGAGCCACTGCTTTGAGCATACTACTGTGAGAAGCATGAGTTTCTGCAATTATAGTATATACAGGTGCCCCTTGAACAATACAGGTTTGAACTGTGGGGGTCCACTTACACATGGATTTTTTTCAATACATACATTGGAAAATTTTTTGGAGATTTGCTACCATTTGAAAAAACCTGGAGATGAACCACATAGCCTAGAAATACACCCACCCCAAATTAAGAAAAAGACATTATTTTAAGAATGCAGCATATGATACATATATGCATCCAAAATGTGTCAACTTTATGTATCAGTAAGGCTTCTGGTCAACAGGAAGCTATTAGAAGTTTTGCGGAATCAAAAGTTATACATGAATTCTTTACTGTACCAGGGGTTGGCATCCCTAACCCCCATGTTGTTCAAAGGTCAACTGTAGTTGTTAATTCAGAGCTTGTCACCTATCAGCGAGTTTAGAAAATTCTATCTACAACTTCAAATGCTGTGTATATTTAGAAAATTGATCTTACCAATATGAAACTGCACTTTCTTTCTTTCCCAAATAGGCCAAAAATAAATTGAACACGAAGCAAGAAAAACAAGCAGAATTAGAGTATTGCAGACTTAATGAAGCTCTTGTGGCTGAAAAGGAGAAGGAATTTCAGGATTATGCCAGAGAAGTAATTGAACTTGAGTCTGAATCAACAAATAAATATATTTATCCTCTTGTAAAAGCTGTACAGGAAGGACATGGAGGTGGCCGTGGACCAGTTTTTGTGAACAGAGGTGGATTAAGACCCCGTTATCAGGCAAATGACGGCGCTGGAGTCCAGCTCCCTTTCTGTAACTCTCAGGGATCAAAATATAGTAATTTTCAAAAGTCTAAGGGAAGGCTAGGTTTTACATGGTAGAAAAAAAGTTTATTTTTGAGATTGAGAAGACTAAGTTGTAGCTAATATTATGAGCTACAAATAAGTGAATTTTATGCTTATAATTTGTTAATAAAGCTGCTCTTCGTCTAAGTGCAATTATGTCTGTTCTAATGGATTCTTCACTACCAAAGTTTAATAAATCCCTTTGATAATACATACACAACATAGTGTAATTTTAGCCTTTAAAAATATGTATTCAGTAGCATTAAGTATAGCTATAATATTGTACAACCATTACCATATCTAGTTCCAGAATGTTTCATTGCTCCAAAGGGAAACCCTGTACCTAAGCAGTCACCTCCCACTTCCCCTCCCTTTCCACAGCCTCTGGCAACTTTGTCTCTATGGATTTGCCTATTTTGGGTATTTCATATAATTATATGGAATCATACTGTGGCCTTTGTGTCTGGCCTATTTCACTTAGCTATTTTCAGGTTTCATCCATCTTATACCATTATCAGTACTTTGTTCCTTTTTATAGTTGAATAATATTGCATCGTAAGTATTTTTCTCTTCAGCAGAAATTTAATTATTTATCCTTCAGTACTTTTTAGTTTCAAACACTACCAATATTATTGCTAACAATAGGATTACAGTTTGACTTGTGGTTTATTTTGTAGAGTGTATCTTGCTAGACATGTGCAAATTATGGTTTTCGAGTTACTTGAAGTAATTTTTCTACAAGTAGCTATATGAGCAATTTGATACACAGGTGACTGTGCATCCAATCTGACTCAAAAGTTTGAGTTGTACAGTAAGTTTCACGTATTATCCTATTGGTGAATGTGTTTAAGAGCGAAATACAGGTTATTTTCCTTTCTCACAGGGCTGCTAAATTGTTCGGTAGTTCTTTTGGCCTAGGGTTGCCACCATTTTAAAAATTACTTAGATGCAAAGGCTCAATGAACTAATAAATAGTCAGGGAACCTCTGCCACCTATCTTTTTCTTTAAATTCTGTTTTAGAAAGTACTGTACATTTGGGGGTGATTACCAGTTTTGGATGAAGCTATTTTCACATTACAACACAGGAAACACGTTTCTACAAAATGGTTAATTTCATAAATGTTTTATAACCAACTTATCCCAGTGAAGAACATAAAACATTAAAGACATTACTAGTTTTCTTACCTTATGTGAACAGTTTCATTGTATTAGTTTCAACTGGGATGGTCTTTCTACTAGAGTTAAGCACATTAAAAACAAAAGGGCTATGCAAAGTCTTAAAAATTAATCACAAAACAATCGAGTAAAAAAAACTGAGTTGCAAGGCACTCAGAACAGTGGAAACACAACTGTTGTAATCTGCCAATAGGATAAGAAATCCATAGCTAAAATGTGTGGCTAAGGGCGCCTGGGTGGCTCAGTCGGTTAAGCACCTGCCTTTGACTCAGGTTGTGATCCCAGGGTCCTGGGACTGAGGCCCGCATTGGGCTCCCTGCTCAGCGCACTGGGCTCCCTGCTCAGCGGGAAGACTGTTTCTCCCTCTCCCTTTGCCCCTCCCCCCGACCCACTTGTGCTCTCTCTCTCAAATAAATAAAACCTTTTTAATAAGTAAGAGAAGTCCTTTAAAAAATAAATGTGTGGCTGAGATATATATTTGGGTATTGAGGGGGGAAAGGTGTAAAAATTATCAATCAGCACTTAAAAATAAAAAGGAAATAACAGTATTAGGTTGGGAAATATGTTTAAGAAGGAAGCCTAAAAAGCAATGAAAATAGAAAAAGCAAATTGATACTAAAAGTATTTTAATACACAATTAATTTACACAGTCCATATGAAGCACTCACATTTTACATATTCTTCTGGCTAAATAAAGCATTTAAAAACACTCCAGAATTCAAGAATTTAATACCTCTTAACACATATAAACCACTGAATGGTCAGAACATTTTTATCTAACCATATATATTTTCAGTGACTAACTTTCAAGTTGGTGCATTTTCCCTAAATATATCTAATTTAAATAAAAATGAAACCAAACAAGAAACCAAAAACTAGACAATTTGTTTTACGAGTCAATTAACATCTATATGGCTTTACAATGTCAAGTGTTATATTAAAACTGGCAGGCACAGGATATAATACAATGTTCCCAATGCTGAGAAATTTGGAGGAATTAAAAAGCAAATTGTAGCATTCCAGTAGACAGTAATGCAAATTCCAAATCTAACCTTAAGTTTGCTGAGGCAAAAGACACATTGTAATCTGAAACATTATGATTAAACATTTACACTAGAATTTATCTCCAAACCTTCTAGAAATCATCACTGCTGACTAAATTCCTAAAGAAGCTCAGTACTGTTAAACTCTTTGCTCAGTTTTTCCTAATACAAATTCTATATCCCCATGGGTAAAATAAAAGTATATTTTAGTTGATTTATCTTCATTATTTACCTTTTAATAAAAATAAAGGTTGAATAACTAATACAACAGTAATTTTAAAAATACAAAACAAACTGTTATAGTTTATTTAATACAATGTTTAACTATAAAAGTTGATAGTTTCAGAATTTAAATTCTGTAAAATGCAGTTTGCAGAAAACAGTTTTAACAGTTACTAGACTAATGATAAGAGAAAGCAGCATTTTGAAACTAATTATACAATTGTGACAACAGCTTTATTCCTAAATTTCATTAAAAAAATATACATCACAGTGACTTTTGAGCTAGGAAAAGAAGTGCATTAACTTCACTTGAATTTTTCCCTTCTACAAAGAGAGCAGCCACAACTTTTAACATCCCCACATACAAATAACCAATTCATTTATCAATCCTTCAAAGTACTAGAAACACACAAAACAGAAACAAAATATACAGCATGGGCTTTTGGTAACATAGGCATTTGCTTTAAAAAAAAGAAAAAGCAGAAACACAACTTAACCCCACAATTTCTTCCTATACTTAAAAACAAACAAAACCCCTCAACAACTCCCTTCTCCAACCTTGCTGATGGATTTTTATTTATGTGATTTTTCTTTTAATATTTACTTCTTGTGTTACACCTCAGGCCAGCGTTTGCATTTGTCTGAATCCTTTAAAGGCAGCTGGGAAACCCGCTATGGGCAGCTGTCAACCAACGCTGCACTTCCTGGAGTTTATCAATTTTTAAAACAAGTATTGTAACAAAACATATCTTTTCACAATAAACAGGTTATAAATCTACAATCCTTGGAGTTTATTCAACTGTAAATATATGAATACTAAACTGAATAATTATAGTAAACATGACCAAAAGAAGACAGGAAAATAAACCACTTTATGTTTCGTTATATTTATGGTGTATATTGAAAGTACCTTCCGGTGAAGGGAAAGGGAACAAGTTTCTATAGAAATTTACTATAAAAGGTTCAAAGTGTGATGAAAAACAACTGCCACCTGGACTAAAAAGCATAGTGAGCTACTAAAAAAAAAAACAAACTAACTTTTCCATATACTAACTTGAAAACAAATTAGAATTGTCCTTTAATATCATTACTCAAAATACCAGAAACCCAATGTGTTCCTGTTCATAATATTAAGAAATGTTTACTTTTCAGTTTCATACCTTTCACTGGGTACAAGCATCTGATTAGGGCATTCAGCAAAGCCAGTATGAATCAGTATCACACTTGTGCAAAGATAGATTTATCAAATTCTTTGAAACTTCTGTGAGGGCTTTAAGGAACTCTATTAGAAATTACAATGCTCTATGAGCTCATTAACTGTAGAGTAATTTAAAAATATTTTAAAGCAACCCAGTAGATTCTCTACTGCTCATCAACATTAATCTCTCTGTTGTGTCAATTTGTGGCAGATGGTTTACCCCCAAAAAAGAATGAAATAATCATGAAAAAAATTCTCAGATATTGCCAAACAATAAAATAAACCAATTAAATATCTTTAGAGGATATGAAGTCAAAGATAGTTCGAGGTAAACCGTAAGCTCAGACTTAACTATAAAATCAATTTGACAGGAAAGAGCCAGCTTTCAAGAAGGAGTATATTCAAAGTAAAAGCTAAAGGTGGCACAACTATTAAAAATGCAATAAAAGGACTGTTTGAGCTATGTGCTATACAGATGTAAAGGCAGACGAGGTACAGTTAATGCTGTTTAATTATTTTCTAAATGTTTTTACTCTGAAAATAAAATCTAGCTGATTGTCATCTTTCATCTCAATTTCTTCACTGTATCTGTTCTACTATAAAAACTAAGTTTTAAAATGTCTATATATGCTTAGCATGGAGTTGCTCTTTTGATAACCAGAACAGGAGAATACTACTTATAGAAATTGCTAAAATTTTTTCCCTATGGTTACTTGTCTATAATTCTTACTAGATACAGCTCTGCGATCAGACAACATGTATTTTTACCTAGCATGGGTTTTTTTTGTTATTAGAAAACCTTTCTTAAATAGCACCTTGAAGCTCAAATAGTTTATAACAGATATTTTTAAAATGCAATTTACTGAATTTAAAAGACAATAACTAATTTAAAATATGTAACAGATTATATAGCTTGGGAACTCAAGACTCAATCATCCCTAAAGTAGGTTTGTGGTCAAAGTCTCTAAGGAATCAATCACCCCAGATTATCATAAACATCTATCACTTTTATCATCAGGAAAAAAAAATTTAGAAAGACTTCATTGTGGATTATTTGCTTCAAGATATTCCAATCTTATAATCATTACCTATTATTTGTTATGCAAACAGCTACCACAATGCCAAATGTTCATTACTGTATTAATCATTAATGGGAAGTATTATGTTAAGCACTGCTTTGCTCAGTACAAATAGCACTGAGTAGTTACTGGGTTTACCAAAAAGCTACCTTGGTAAGAGTTGATACTACACTGACAAATATGAAAGTACAAAACACTCTAAAGGCTACTATTAATTGGAATTCTGAAATTTCTTCTCAAATGAGGCAGGTTTTGTGTTTGCTGGATGTTCAGTATTTTATTTAGAAGATATTACAGAAAAAAAGGCCACACATCACAAAAATAGCAATATACAACACACAAAATTCTAAATGGACTTTGGGTATCTTTTACTGTTTAACACTGTAAGCTATCAAATTTTGCAACTTTCTACTCTACTCTATGTGGCAATGTTG